AAGTTGAAGTGCGGTGTTTTTGCTCTCATTGAAACAGAATTTATTTAGACTACACACACACACATATATATATATATATATATATATATATATATATATATATATATATATATATATATATATATATATATATACATACACGAAGTGACGTTCATATAAGTGAACTGAACGGAACACACTGTTTCAATTTACTTATGTTCTCTTTTAGGTAATAAAACAAACTAGTCTACATTTTTGAGGGAAACAGCTATTAAGTGTATCCATATGTTCTAAGCCAAGTTAATACGGCGAGGCTTTTCTTTTTTTTATTATTTTTAAGCGTAGATTTTGATTTATTTAAGTGTAAAATAAATAAATAAATAAAATGAACTAGTCTGAATGCAAATATTTGAGCCATTACAATTTTTTTTTCTTCTTCCTTTTTTTTTTAGCTGCAAAACGTGGGTAGCAACTGATTGATGAACATAATTTGACATTTGTAGAACATTAAAATTAAAATTTTTATCACGCGCTCATACACAAAGTTTAAGACTGGAATTCCATTTAATAATTCTAGGCAAGTTAGCGAATGATGACTATGAAAAACAGATTTATTTTTCAAGTGTTTTTATTTTCCATTTGAACTGTTATTTTTAAAAAATCCCAACGCCCAGGTCGTTATGTTCTACAACCGATACAGTAAGCAACATGAATCGGAAATAAGCATTTTATTAATTTTTGATGATTTTTTTTTCTTTCATATTGTAGCAGTCAAAAAAATATTAATGAAAAGGCGTCATCTAAGAATACAGACAACTTAAGTCACCTCTCCTCCTACTACTAATACTACAAGTACTACAGTGTAACCCGGATATAAGAGACCCGGATATAAGAGAAACCCGGATATAAGAGAGATTTTCTCTGGTCCCAAATTAGAGCCCATACTTACCTAAACAAAATAGACCAAACCCGGATATAAGAGAAACCCGGATATAAGAGACTTCTCCGGTCCCGACAACTCTCTATTGTACTATTTTTGCACAGTGTCCTTGCAGAACATTGAGGTTCATGACTCTCCACAACTTCCTGTCCTTCGTAGCTCTTAATAAATTTTTTTTTTTTTTGTTATTTCTCCAAAACCCTGTTCCGCCATCTTTTTACGCAAACGCATCTGTTAAACACTGTTTCCTTCTGCCCATCTAGCCTTCAATCTGTCCTGTGAATATCAGATTTTCCAAGGCTTCTTTCCTTTATTTTACGTGTCCTAGAAATTCTAATTGTCTCTTCATGATGTTAAGCATGAGCGTCCTTTTTGTTTCCATTTTCTCTAAAAAAATTGTTGTTGTTGTTTGCTATCCTCAGCCACATTTCTGTTGCTTCAAGTATCTTCGTCGTCGTTGAGGAGATTGTCCACAGCATTCACAGCTATATAGGACTACTACCACTATGAAACCATAAACACAGAATACTGCTTGAATAATCGAATAAGGGATTGGAGTAATATAGCTGTAGATTTATCTTGCCATTCCCCGTAGTCAAATAAATAAAGGCAACGTCTAGACGTGCTACAAAGATATGAAGTGTAGTATAAGTCTTGATGAAGGGCCGAACACCTCTCCCTTTGCTGTAACCGAAAGAAGAGACTAAATTTGGCTTCTTGGCCTTAATCTATGACTGCTTTGTCTAAAATCCTTATTGTCATTAATTTTCAAAAGAAATTAGAAAAATTATTTTCTCCAGAAATATCAGCTTCTAAAACTTCTATATAAGGAAGAGGTTTATATCCCAGAAAATAAGTAAAAGCTTAAGTTAAAAGAAAATAATGAAAAAGATAAATAAAATACAAATAAATATAGGACATAGGCGATCATGGCTCTCCGCGGATTCCTCTTTATTATATGTGAATTTCCAGGCATGCTTGGGGGGGTAAATATATTGAAGTGGTTTCCGGTTGCCATCTCCACGGTTTGAAATTCAAAGTTTTCCTTCTCTTAGACTGGTTGCCACGCAGATGTTGAGAGCTCAGTCTATACTGTTTTTTAACCCATAGCTAGGGGGAGAAGATATGGATTCACGCATTTTCCCAAAAACATTTGCGTGAAAACTAACGCAACAATAGGATAATAGAAATAAAAAAAACATTTTTCATTTTATGAAAAATATTTTCATTTTATGTGAGGATCAGATAAAAAAATAATAATATAGAATCTGTAAACCATGACCTCTAACATAGCCGCTGCCATTTTATTTTGTAACACTCTGCTTTCGTCGAGGCAGGCTTCTTTGTTTTGGCTATTTATTTTTTGATTTTTCATTTTAGCCTTATTAATTATAATTAAAAATATTTATTAAGATAAAATTCAAGTTTTATACCACAATATAGTATTTATTTTACACAAGAAATATTTATTTAATGTCATAATCTCCTTCCTTGTCAATGTACTTAATTCAGTGGTGAATATGAATCTCCTAGAACAAACCTTATACAGTGAACATTTCAAATCAAAATTCAGCTATGGACTCGTATGTTTAATGTATTCCTACAAAAGTTGATGACAAATACCAAAGTCTTGGAGAGTTTTGCGTACGGATAATTTATGATGATAAGAATTTGTCAAAATTATAAAAAATTAACTGCTCTTATAAAATAGGTCAGCAAATACTTTAATTAGAGATAAGTAAAAAATATTTTTGAGAGTTTATTGTGAAATGTTATTATTGAATCCAGTCTAGAAAATAAATATCTTGTTTCCTTTTCAATAAGTGGAATCAGTCATTCGCTGAAAAATAAATAAAGAACAAAACAAAACAAAAAAACCTAGCAAGAACTACTTCAGCCATTATGCAACTTGCTATGCTAGGAAAAAGAAAACCTTTGGGCTTTTTTTCCCATATCATAACAAGATGATCAAACAATAGATAATAGAAACCTAAATGTTTTATATTATATTTTCACGTTATACAAGCTCGAGAGGAAGAGTTTTGTTGCTAAAATAGTTATGAGGAATGAGATGTGATATGGGTGGAGGAGGAGGCGTTATGAAATGTAGATTATGAGGATAAGGAGGATATTTAACGATTGGTTCTTGACCTGAAGAGGTTAAAATTGTAGTGTTCCGGGAAGCACTCATGCGGGAGTCTGTTCCACAAAGTAGCAGTTTTCAGGAAAATGATGTCAGTTGAACTTTCGCCTTACATTTGGAATATGGAGAAAATGTGGATGATTCGACTCTGTAGAAGTAGCATGCCGTGTCCCCGCAGTAAAATTCTGAGCAGGTAGAACAAAAGAATGGAGCTCATCTGAACATTTGCCATGGAAATAGCGATGATCGAGTGGCGTTAAGTTTGCGTCTGCGGGGAAAGCGGCTGCAGGGTGGAGAAGAAGTCTTCAAGACTATGTAAAAAAAATTGAACTCTATCGAAGCTGGAATGTGAGAATGGAGCAGCCCCAGCTCAGATATATATATATATTTTTAAGCATTTCACCCGAACTAAGGTGGGATGCCACTAGCACACAAGGGGTTACAGAGAGTGAGAGTGAGAGTAAAGAGGCATGATGGCAGAAAGGATGAAGAGAAGGACGGGGAATAGATCAAGACATCGGGAGATGACGATTAACATTGCATTTGAATAGTTGGAGATTATAGCTATCAGGGAAACAAATAATAGGAAGGGAATTCCACAGACGGGAGGTGCGAGACATGAAGCTATTGGAGTAGAAGAGATGGTTATATTTAACTGTTTTGACAGTGAAAGGTGGGACCGAAATGCTAGCCTAGTTGCACGTTTAAATTCATACAGTTTGGAGAACTAGCGAAAGTAGCTCGTCGGAGCAGTTACCGTGAAAGTATTTGTAGAAAAGACAGAGGGAGGCGACGGTGCGTTTGTGAGATGAGGGCCAATCACGCTGTATATCCGTCTCTGGATTTTGTCAAGAACCTTAAGACAGCGGGAGCACCAGACCATATATAACAGCAGTATTGCTTGCAAGGGCGAATGGTTGATTTATAGTTTTGAAGGATAGACTCGGACGAGAAAGACTTTCTGGCGTGACACCGAGAACCAACTTTTCTTGCGGTGGATGAAGCTATTGATTCAATGCATTTGTTCCATCTTACGTCAGCGGACAGTGTGAGACCGAGCAGTCACAAAGAGGTGCTCTCGTGGAGTTGAGCATCAGACATTCTAATGGGAGGCAGGGAAGGATCTCTGTGGTGAGTAATAGAGAGCAGTTTTGTTTTTGAGGCATTAAAGTTAACCAGCCAATTCCTGCACCAATCCACAACCGATTCTGACACTTGTAAACACGAAGCATGAATAGTTATATACACAAGAATTTATAAGATTAAAACAATGCACTTTTTAGTAAACATAGCACGCTTTATCAACAACTAAAGCTATTATCCATAATTTCACAAAGAATCCTTAGTATTTCAAAACTTGTGTGAACAACTGTGACTAACTGAACTTAGTTGTATTACTGGACTTGCTACTACAACGTTTCAACCGATCCATTTTGCAGCCTGCTTCAGGTATATAATGGAGCCTTTTCTTTTTTTCTTATGAATTACACACAAAAAAAGAGGTTTGCTTGTTCCAACAAACTTTGGCGTGTTAATGACACTTCTCAAAGTTATAGAGAATCTGTTACAATTATTGTGAAGTTAGCAAGCTGTATTTACGACAAAGTTTCCATCAATTGATGAATTTGGAATTGGACATGCTTTCGGTGTTTAAACATCATTGCCATTAACAGAATACACTACATTATTCGGACTATTCTCCTCATCTTTGTTGCCATATTTATCACAACGTTTCGGCCACTGTACGCGCCGGCCTTCTTCAAGCGGTTGAAATGTCGAACTGAACCCTTTATTTCGCTCGCTGGTGTAGACCGTTCTAGTACCACCTAAAGAAAGCTGGATCGTACAACGGCCGAAACGTTGTGACGAATATGGCAACAAAGTTGAGGACAATAGTCCGAATAATGTAAATATTGTACATAATACATAATACCTTACCTCAGGAATATAGACAGATACATTAACAGAATGCAGACGAGAAATACCTCGCAATATCACTGTCGGATGACAAAACCACGGTGTTGTGTCCTGTACCGTAGTACGTGAACACCTTGGAGGATGTTGAAAAGATACTATACTCTAGCTCCGTCACTTTTATGAGTATCACATGCACACACACACACACATATATATATATATTTGTGTGTGTGCATGTATATATATATATATATATATATATATATATATATATATATATATATATATATATATATATATATGAGTTTCAAATAGACGGTGGTGTCGGAATAAAAGCGATGTATATAAGTTAAGAATATTTTTAGTACAAAAATGCTTTGTACTAGCATACTCAGATCGGAACCTAAATTAAAGGGTGTGAACATTCCTGAATATTTAATAGAAGGGTTGGTTGGAATCGTGTGTGAATTTTTCTATAAAAAGAATAATAGTTATGACCCGTCTCTTTGAAACTCATAGATACATAGGCAACGACATATATATATATATATATTTTATATATATATATATATATATACACACACACACACACACACACACACACACACACATATATATATATATATATATATATATATATATATATATATATATATATATACAGGAAAAAGAGAGATAGGAAAAGAAAGAGATAGATAGATAAGAACTTAGATCGATCGGAAAAGATTGAGATAGATAGATAGATAGATAGATAGATAGATAGATAGATGTATATAGATGAACTGTGACAGATATTGAGCAACATGAACTGTGACTGTGAGAAACAGACGAAACTACATAGAAAGTTTGTAATTGAAGCAGGATCATGCTTCAAAAATTCAGACAGAAAGAAGGCTGAAGAAGAAAGTGGCCGAAACCTTGTACTAAAAGAAGAAAACAAAATGTACAAAATTATACATAAAATATTTAAGTATTTTTTTATATTAAAGTATTTTTTATAAAATAAAAATAGTGTTTTACTTTTTTTTTTATTGATGTTACTCAATGGGAATTAAATATCTGTATTTTGTTGGTTGCTTTTTTGGTGTTAATTTAAAAAAAAAAAACAATGTCGTTTCCATTCAGGACGTAGACGCTCATGGCTGTCCCTTTCTTTATCGGTGAATTGCCGGACATTTTCTGAAAGGGAGTGAAATTGTTTCGCTTTGCCTTCACTTGAGTTTAGAATTCAGATTTTTCCTTCGCTTAGATTGGTTGCCAACCAAGAATAGAAAGTCCAGTCCCCTGTCTACACTGCTATTTAACCACCTAGCTGAAGAAACGCGTAGGGATGGATTCAGGCTTTCCCCAAGGTAATTTGCTCTTAAGTGAACTCAGCAGACAAGGCAGGGATTTGAATTCGACTCACTGATTTCTCTTTCGGCATCGATATCCGTTACACTCACTCACTCACTCCAACACTATCTATCTATCTATCTATCTATCTATCTATCTATCTATCTATCTATCTATCTATCTACAGAATATAACTTTTTCGGACTAATATTCATTAATACAAATATTTTGACTCTACCATTTACCTAAAAGCAAAGCCAACAAAAGGCGTAACAAGGCTGGAAGAATGTGTATAAATACAAGTAATTGCTCAGGCAAATGGCGGATTACTCATCAGATGAAAAGTTTAGTTCACTCTAGCATGTTTTTCCCCCCTCCCCGCTGCTAACCATCGTCTTTTCCGCGACAGGTTGTCTTTGCCTTGACAGGTATCCAGAACCCGTCAGACCAAGATTTCAGTTTTGACAAATAAGTTAACGTCTATTAGGGAACTAGTAAATGTGAACTGCATTCTGTGGGGATTTAGAACAAACTTAGCGAGAGAAAATGAATAAAGAAATATAAGTGACAACAATAGCAATCAAGCATCAAAGTATAATTCTCTGTCGCTGTATACAAGGCGGAGTAACTCAAGCAATCACAGTTTAGAGTGGAGCTAGGTCACGTTCATATATATATATATATATATATATATATATATATAGATAGATAGTTAGCTAAAGTCCAACGTTATTTCTTTGTTAAGGAAGTTTTTTTGCTTTTCTATATTTTATATCATAGCTTTCGATGAAAATATGAACTTGTTCCAACTCTGGCTATTTCGGCTTTCATAAGCCATTATCAAAGAGTTTTTGTTGATATTGTTGTGACTACATGCATGTACTGTATTTTTTGTGCTGTATACGTTTCATGTTTATTTTCAAATATCGTGACTTCACACGTCATATCAGTTTTTAAAATTATCGCGTTTTCACCCGTGAAACGGGGAAAAATGATCTGAAATATAGAAAACAAGCAAAAAAAAAAAAAAAAAAGTAAAAAAGAAAGTCATTAACAAAGAACTCTCGTTGGTCTTTAATCAAACTTGTACAAAGGAAAAATCACTGCTCAAATACATATGCGTAGCGGGCGTATTTGGGCGGCAAATTCTCACCGGAAACTAGAAAAATTGTCGAAGCAGATGAACAGTTCAACAAAACGTTATAAAGAAAGAACTTCGTTGATATTCACACACACACACACACACACACACACACACACACACACACACACACACACACACACACATTATCTCTTTCTCTCACATACACACAAAGCTGCCTTGTTTTTAGTAACGTTTTGCTTAAATACTTCTTCCTCTTTCACCTTACCCCGGAAGTAGTTGCTGTCCACCATTCTCCTCCATATATCGCGGTTGTGTGCCAAAGCCTAGGTCTCCACGAATGGTTTCTTGGTGTGCTCTTCATGTGGCGTGTCTCGGGCGTTTTCACCTGGCGGAGCCCATCTCTCTAAACGTGGCTTAATATATGACATAGGAAAATCTTCTTGTCCAGGTTTTCTATGCAAATGCATAGAAAATCTTGTCAAGTAGATTTCTATAGTAAAGTCACTTTCATTGTGCTTCTATAGTGAAATTATTTTAAATGCATTTCTTTGTAAAATAATTAAGAATTCATTTACATTATACATCCATTAGGTTTTTACTGGTAGCAAATGTTGAATTAATTTCCGATCAATTCGCTTCTTTCTGATTTTCAATGCACACAGCATACAGATGGAAGACCGAAATTTACCAAAAATCTTCAGGTAAAAATTTGAAAATTTGGCATTTCTTTACCAAATATTACACTTTCTGTTAAAGACATTTAATTTGTTATTACAGGAGAAGACTAAAACAAAGCGAAAGTGCAGTCGAGTAGTGGTATAGCCAGTGGGCGATGATAAAAAAAGACTGTGTTCAAATGCAGTCGTGGCTAAAATACTATCGTCATTATCGCTTTTTAATACCACATGTGAAATTTGATGAAACAAGTCGATGTCTTCATAATTACTACTAACAAATACATATTAAACGAAAGGAAATGCTTACATGTATTGTTATCTATATTCGCCTCAAGTCTCGTACACTCTATTAAGGAGGATGGAGTTACATTTAGTAAGTAGATTTTTACAAGATGGAGTTCCTACCTACAAAACTAACCGATTTTGAATTCAAAATTGTCCCTTTCTTTAAATCGGTTGTCAAACCAACGCAAAAAAAAACCCAAAAAAAAACAAAAAAACCCCAAAAACCGCCCTGCCATACTTTTTAACCCATGGATGGAAGGGGATTCATACCTTTACAAGGATATTTGCGCGACACTTTCGCGCAAATATCCTTGTAACAAACTCGACTGGAATTCAAACTCGGCCCGCTAATTTCGAATTCTGACCCACAGAACATTAGACTAGCGGCACATCAATTTATCATTGAGTGAATTTCAGCTGATATTAGCTTTTGTAATAATAATGCATAGAATAATAGCAGAAAGAGTGATACAAATGCAGAAGGATGTATATCTATGCTTAATAGATTATGCAAAAGCGTTTCATAAGGTGTGACACAAAGAACTATTTGAACTACTAGGTAAGCTTGATTTATTGGGGTAATATATTAGAATAACCCACAACTTATACTGGGATCAAACCTCCTACATACGAACAGAAAATAAATTCAGTAAGTATGCGAAAATAAAAGTTGCCTAAGACAATTATGCGTCTTCTCAACAGACTTATTCAACCTTTACAGCGAGACGATCTTGAGAGAACTAGAAGTTCTCTCAGGATTTATTATTTTCGGACACAAACTTAACACCATAAGATATGCAGACGACACAGGGTTGATAGCAGACACAGAAAGGAAAGTGAGGGACCTCCTGTAGTAAATAGTGAAAGAAAACGAGAAGAAAAACAATTGTCAGAAGACAAACTTCATGGTTGTCAGGAAGAGAAACATCCCAAGGTGGGAACTGTGAATTAGAGATATCAAATTCAAACAAATACGAAAATTGAAATATCGGAGAAGTTTTCTTTTAACAGAGGATATATAATGTGACACCGGTATCTGAAGGAGCATTGGAATAAGGAAAAATGCCTTTCAAAAGCTCAGCAAAATATTAAGAAACAAGAAAATTTCGTTAGAAATAAAAGAAAATAGAAACTATTATGCAATATCTGTCCTCCTCTATAACAGGGAATGTTGGACAATTTCTTCCCGAACAAAAAAAAAAAAAATAGATCTGAGGCAACAGAAAGGTGGTTCTACAGCAGGATGCTGAGAATACCATAGATTGGACATATGAGCAACGATGAAGTTTTAAGGGAAATGGAAATCAAACGAACACTTATATTTAGAATCAGGAAAAGACAGTTGAATTTTCTATAATGAGGAAAGAGGGCTTGTAGAATTTGATACGCACAGGACATACTGAAAACAGGCAGGGCAGGGGAAAACAGCGAGTAATCTACTGAATGAGCTGGGTTTGCAGAACAGAGATTAGGAGGGATCCCGAAAGGTCAAAACTTACTAAGAGTTACAAAGGATAGGAAATTGGGGAGGACCATGATAACCTACATCCTGATACGGATAATAATAATAATAATAATTAGAAATTGACAAGCACACACACTGAAAAATTGTGTTAATCCGAAATGAAAATTCTGTGATAAATATCCAGAAGCACGTGACCATCTTGTATCAGGTTGCACAGTGTTAGCACTCACTGAATAAAAGATAGAGTAGGCTAATATTTGCACTGGAAAATATGCAACTTTTACGGGAAGGAAACTGCAAGAAATTGGTATGAACATCACCCAGACCCGGTTACAGAGATAGGACCTGTAACAATTTTATGGGACTTTACAATACACACAGACAGAAGAATCAAAACTAAGCACCGAGATATCGTGACCAAATGCCACAAAAACAGAATGTGCTTTCTTATTGATATGGCAATCCCTGCAGATTGTAATGCATCTTTGAATATCTCCAAAAACTATCAAAATACAAGGATCTTGAAATCTCAAAAATGTGTCACATAAGAACATCAATAATTCTGGTTGTAGTTCTTGGATTGATTGGACAAGGGCCCGATAGACTCATTGAAGGGATTCCTGGTAAGCCATGCCTAAAAGAAATACAAAAAAATTGTACTCACAAGTATAAAGAGCTTTATCTATGTAAAATGTGTGTAATCTTAGTTTTTTTTATTTTACAAAAATGATCAGTGGAAAATGTCATGAAGCCATTTCTAACCTTAGGTCTCTGGTTATGACCCGGAAGGAAATGTGTATACAACAAAAATCAATAATAATAATAATAATAAATATAGTAGGAGCAGACCTGGCACCCTGAACATGATGGCCCACCATAGATATGCACTGGCGCCCACATACCAGCCCCTTCCCCACGTATCGGTAAATACGAACTAA